ACGCTCCGACGAAGGGCTAACGCTCGAAACGTCAGCTTTTGTAATCGTTACGGTGGCCAATTTACCATTTCAACTTTGTTGATATATTCAAGTTATTTCGTTACCCCCACCGACGCAGCTCCAAACAGTTTCTTTAGAAGCTATCAGCCTTTATTAACTTACTGACTGATTGATTGACTGAACTGAGTGGTCGCCTGACTACCTTGCCGCTGACTGATTGACGGCCTGTATTCGTGGCTGCCTGGCTGGTTTCTTGACGAACTGATTGACTGACTTACAAGCTCTTTGATCTTCCTGTCGTTTAAAGGACGGACCCGACTAATTGCTGGGCTGAGGGACTATTGATGTCACACTTGTTTTCTTATTGATCCCACTGACTAACTGACTGGTGGAATTCATTGTAGGTCATTCTTTCTGGTGCAGTTAAAATAGCTGATGCCGTGGATAGATGTCGTATCTCAGTTGTTGTGCACTGCAGTGACGGCTGGGACAGAACATCTCAGGTGAGACCAACAAGCACTGCTGGTCAGCGGCTTTGTGCTTTGCCAAAATTTTATGGTCGCCGTTTTTCCATATATATGCGTCTCATCATTTCGTGTATTTGTAGATTGAGTTTTTTCAGACGCCGATCTTGGCCTGCAGATTTTAACTAACTGGTAAAGACAATGTATTTTGCTCTTCCTCTTTAGCTCACCGCCCTTGCTATGCTTTTGCTTGATCCTTACTACAGAACCATTGAAGGATTTGAGGTAATTGTTAAATATTTTATGTTGCATGTCATTCAGTCTTACAATGATATACTTTTATATACTTATTGAGGGTGACATCAACAGTTATAAACTGATAAACTTGTGACTTTCAAATTCAAGCAAATTGGAAATAAACATTGTACATAAGCATAAACGTAGTGTTTAAGAACCCCCACTGGCAGGAGGCAGACCAGTGGGCTGTATACGAAGCGCAGCCAAGGAGTTGAACTCGGGGCAACCGAGAACAAATCCAGTGAGTAGCAGGAGGACATGAAACCCGGGACCAACAGATTCAACCAGTGCCCTAAGAAGTCAGCGACACTGCATCAGTATGTATTCTATTTTCTCCACAGGTTCTTATTGAGAAAGAGTGGACAAGCTTTGGGCATAAATTTCAACAGGTAGAAGGTGCACACTTTTTGTTTTTGTTCTTAGGTTTTTTTTATTTTACTTGTTTTCACCGATTAACAACTATTCTCTGGAATTTTTAGCGTTATGGCCACGGAGATAAGAATCACGCCGATGACCAGCGTTCGCCGGTTTTCCTTCAGTTCATAGATTGTGTGTGGCAAGTCACCAAACAGGTTTGTTTCATAGAGCAGTTTTCAAATTAGCGTCGACAAAACCATTTCCATAGTAACCACAACGGCCAATCGGGACAAAGGATGGCATCACAAGGAGCTAATGGGAGTTCGTCGAGGCCTGCCTCTCGTTTTGTTTTTAAAAGAGATGTTGGTACACTAGTATTGATGTGAGACCAACGCGATGTCGATGTAGCTTAAAAACCCCTCCACACTGCGAAATGTATTATGAAGAACGCTCAGTCTGTTTTCTGTTTTCGTTTTTCAGTTTCCCTGTGCTTTTGAGTTCAACGAGCATTTCTTGATAACTGTGTTGGATCACCTCACAAGGTAACAGCAACTAATTCTGATTTTCCGAGACACCGAAAACTTATCGAAAGTTACCGGGGCAGTCTAAGCCAAAACCTAGAGCTTAACGGCTGGAACTCGTTCTTATTTCTCAATAATGATTAGAAAACTTAAGTATTTTTGGCCCCTTTTATTTTTCAGCTGCTTGTTTGGTACTTTCTTGTACAACTCAGAGTGCCAGCGAGCCAAAGAGGTGAGCCGTAATTGTGTAGGCTCATTGTAAAGATGGCTGCCTCGTTTCTTCCATTTTATCCACAATGGGTTGTTACCTGTGGGCAACTTGTAATTGCCACCCTTTCGCTTGCTTGCCGATCTCTTGTCTTTTCTCTTCCATTTCTACTTTTGTTTCTTTGTAGGACGTAAAAGTGAAGACGGTTTCTCTGTGGACCTACATCAACACGCGAGTAAGTAACTCATGCGTTTTTTTCCTTTTTCTAAAAGTACTAGTCAGGTAAGGCGGACAAAGCCGTAAGTTTACAGTCGGTGGCTTTCATCGCCTCAATCAAACATACTGAAAATTCCATCCAGTTGTTTGTTTGCTTGTTTGTTTCCCTCTTTGTTGCCACTAATGACATGTTTTCCTCACCTTGCAGCTCACGGAGTTTAAGAATCCCCTGTATGCTCCACATCTCCATCAGCATGTAAGTACAGCACTGTATACTGTTCAGGCTACAAGTGTTAACCGGCAGAACGTACTGTGTTATCCACCAGAGAGAGATTTATCCAGTGGATCACGTTATCCAACCTTCGAATAACCGGAGCCCAGGGTGATAAATGTCTTTGAACTTGGACACTTAAAAAGAGACGTTTATCCGATGAGCTAAACAGTTGCTCATCTTGTTTGTTTGGTATTTTTCAGGTTTTGTTTCCTGTTGCCAGTATGAGAAGACTGGATCTGTGGACTCGCTATTACATTCGCTGGAATCCCACAATGCAACCGCAGGTGGGAACGATTTTGTTTACGTTTAGTATTTTAACTTGTCTGATGTGGAAGAATTGGCAGACATTCTTTGCTTGGCAAGCACTCGCTGTTTCATTCTTTGAAATAGCATTTAGGCAATGTCGTAAGGAGTTTATTTTGGTGTAAATCGTTTTGAAACAAGCTGATAACGAAACTTACTTTATTTCACCACACGAGAGACGAGGAGAGGTTTATTGAGGATCTGGCACTAGTAATTATTAGGGCCAGACCTCCTGGCAGTCTTTTTGATGGCTCGCGTTGCGTAAGGCCGCACACTTACATACAGGCGCGGAATCGCTCTTGCCGAAACGCTAATAATGAGGGCTTACTCTCAGACTAATGTTTTCGTTTGTTTGTTTTTTAATTTCATTTTTTTAAGGAATCTGAGGAGCAGAGAAGCCGCGAGTTACATTTTCTCTGTGAGCAGGTAAGGACGCAGTTTAGGTTGCGGGATCGATCAACTGAAAACTTGTGTAAGGGAATAAAGTGGGCTCGTAACTAATTTCTGCCTGGATTATCCCTGCAGCTACGCCAAAAGTGCGAGGAACTGGAGCGAGAAATTATGGCTCGCACATCTGTTGAAGTACCTTCCACTCCTGATGCCATGTCTGTCAATAGTAACCAATCACAGCAGTGGGCCCAGTCCTCGGCGGTATGATACACGCCGGAGTAACGGCGGCGAGAAAATATTAGCCACTCCAGTGGGCATCTGCCATGGCCCGTTTAATATGAATTTTAGCCTTTATATGTTGCTATGAATTCTGTCACCACTAACATGTGGTAGATTTTTTTTTTTGTCAAACATAATTCTAATCCCAAGTTGGCGTTTTTTGGTGAAAGGTGAGATAAAATTGTTCAGGTTTGAACCAAGGTCTCATTCAAATTTAAGTTTCTTTGGAAAGAGAAAAAATGGACAGAAAATGAATCAGTTAAAGTACTCTTGGTTTTTAATAAAATACGTTGCATGAACGTAACATAATTTCTTTTTCCTTGCCACGTGTATCTATCTGGATCTGTACGAGCCGGCGTGATTGTTGAGGATTTTCTGGCGCGAGGCGAACACGAAGCGTGAGTCACGCGAGAGGAGGGGCGCTTGTTATTTTTTTCGCGTTCTTCCCCTCGAGCGTGACTCGTGCTTCGCCCTTGCCTCGCACTCCCCTAGCGCTTGTCTTCGTCTACAAAACGGAAAATTTTTGGCCGGTTCTGTTGGTTATAGCCACTACAACTAAACACGAAACTAGTTGTATGATCAACTTTACCTTATTATATCATAACAGCAAAGGAACTACCTTGTAAAACACCTGGAGACACCCACCGTGAATTTTTGAGAAGGAAAAAGAAAATGTTTCGTTTGCACTAAAATCAAAGAATTCACCTTGTTATCCCTCTTTAACCCAAACTTTTTTTTTTTCACGAATTGTTTTGGATGACTATTTTGGAAAATAATTTGGATATATCAACAAAGTTGAAATGGTAAATTGGCCACCGTAACGATTACAAAAGCTGACGTTTCGAGCGTTAGTCCTTCGAAGGGCTAACGAGGGCTAACGCTCCGACGAAGGGCTAACACTCGAAACGTCAGCTTTTGTAATCATTACGGTGGCCAATTTACCATTTCAACTTTGTTGATATATCCAAATTATTT